CTTTCTTCACTTTTGCCTTCTTCTCAACATTTCACCAACTTCATCAACTGCCTTCTCTGTAGCAACAATGAGGAACACTGACTTAACTAATAAACCAAAGAAAGTATGGACACACCTAAGCATACATGTACTTCTCATATATTGTTTCTCCTCTCTCTCTCTCTTCCTCAAGAAGAGGTTTTCAGATGATACTAGTATTCCAAGTAGCAGCAAGAGCAGTAGTGTGTCACCAAGGAAAGCTCCAAGGTCTAATATTGCTGAGTCGGCTAATAATAAATACTCATTTGCTGGGAACTATGGTACACATTATTATTAATTAACTAATTGATTGATTAATTATTGCTTTTTGTTTTTAGGTTTTGGTGTTCGTGTTGGTAAACCCACCCCGCCCTCCTCCTCAGCAGTGGACTGCAGTGAATGGTATTATACACTAGTGATGGCTACCTACAGGTCCTTTGTGTTACATTGGATTATTTTACTTCATTCTCTTTAAATCTCCTCCTCTTTATTTGCATCGTGTGATTTGTTAGAAAATCAGTTTTTTAGTACAATAATAATTTATTGGCTAGTGTGGACATAAAAATTATAATAGTAGCTATGATGGAAATACACTGAAAAGAAAATTACAAAAATAGTGAATAGTGTAAATGGAGGGGGTATTAGTTTATAGAAAAAATTTTTGTTGTTTTGCTATTCTGGATTGCATTGCTTCCATTTGGTGTTCAAGTCGCTTTATTGTGTTATCGTATTGTTGTTTTATTGATCCAATATTTGATGAGATGAAGGAGAGGAAGTTTTGATGGCGAGAGTAACTATTATCAGTTGATTGTTGATTGTCTTCATTGATGAGTGGAGATGGTTTGGTTGTTTTACCTGATGATTCTGTGTCTACTTCAACTGGTGTAGTAAGAGCAGTTCTTAATACTTCTTCATCTGCACTAGGTTCATCTTTCCTTTCCTCTTCTCTGTTGACTGTTACCTCATCTTTCTGTTTGGTTGCCTCTTGAAGTAGATCTTTGATTTTAATTCTTTTGGATTTTGCTGCTATGCTTTCAATTGTTTTACCAAATTTATCCTTCTTGATTTTGGCTCCATGTTTTAGTAAAAGTCTGATCACATCCAGTCGACCTCCTGCAGCAGCATGAAATATTGGTGTCCAACCATCAGTATCCTCAAGCTCAACATTAGCTCCTTCTGATAGTAACATCTCAACTACTTTGATACGACCTGTTACACTTGCAATACTCAATGGAGTATAACCTTCAGTACTGGGAGCGTTGGGGCTAGCATTAGCTTTGAGAAGCAAGTGGATTATATCATCACTACTACAGGTGCATGCATATTGTAGAGGTGTTACTTTGAATTTTCCACCTGCAATATTAGGATCAGCTCCAGTATCTAGTAAAGCCGTTACAATTTCAACACTATTCCTTTCAATGGCAGCATATAATGGCGACTTTCCATATTTGTCGCCAAGATTTGGGTCTGCTTTTTTCTCAATAAAAAATTGTAACATTTCTTTATTTCCTTGTACACAAGCAATATACATTGGTGTAAGGCCTTCAGTAGTTTGAACATTGACATCAGCATTTGCATTAAGTAAAAGTCTTACCAGTTGAGTATCATTTCTAATGCTGGCTATATGTAATGCTGTTATTCTGCCCCAGTTATGATCGGATTGTGCATCAACATACACTCCTGCTTGAAGTAACAGCTTTACAATATTGTGATTTTCATGGTAACAGGCAAGCATAAGTGGAGTTAGTCCATTGAATTGAATCATCTGAATGTTTGGATCAGCATTGAAATCTAGCAATAATTTAACAATTTTTTGATGGCCTTCGTAGCAAGAAATAGACAAAGGTGTGCTCCCATAATTTGATTGTAAGTTAGGATTTGCTCCTCCTTCAAGTAGTAGCTTAGCCATTGAATAAAATCCCATTTCACAGACTAATGCTAATGCACTCTGGCCATCATTATTTTGAAAATCAAGTGTTGCTCCATGTTGGATTAGATATGAGCAACTTTTTGTTTTCTGAAATATATTAGCTACCATCAATGGTGTACCCCGAATTGATTCATTGCAATGGTCAATAGACACACCTTTTTTGAGTAAAAACTCAATCGCTTCCACATGACCACATCTAGCAGCACAATGTATTGGTGAGTAGTAGGTTCCAACGAACTTATGCACATCAGCACCATACTCTACTAGTAGAGACATTACTTCTGTATTATTTTCTAAAGCAGCCATCATCAATGCATTTACTTTCACATTAACTTCATATTCTTTATTAGGATCAGCTCCAATATCTAATAAACACCGAATTAATGACAAACTTTGGTGAATTTTAAAGCACCTTATTGATTTTACCAGTACTATTTCAAACGTAAAATATGTGCACTGGCATAAAAGTGATGAAACAGACAGAAGAATATTTCCAAACTGAATACTTAGAATGCCAAGGAAGGCAAGTTCTTTGTATCTTTTACTAGATAATGTTAGTAAGGTAAGTATTGCTGATTGAGAAGCAAAAAGACAGACTAAAACCGATCCTTCTTTAATCCTTAATCTTGTCAATATTGAACTCTCCTTCCCAAAGAGGTACTCCAGTAGCTTAAAAAGATTATTCAAAGCTACCTTCAACCACTCACCTTCTAACCTTAGCACTATGAGACATTGGTTAGGTGATGGATCGACTGCTTCGGTACTAGCAGCTTTTTCAACTGCTTCTTTGAACTCTTTTATTGTTGTAGATTCCAGCCAATTCATTTGTGCTTCACGATACTTTTCCATATCCTTTTCCATTGTCTTTTTAATAAATTCAAACACTATCACTTCCAATATTTTATATCTTATGAAGCAATAGTGTGGTTGCAGGCAATCAAACAACTCTCTGATGTTCATAGGTGGAGGATTAGATATGACTTGAAGAGTGGTAGCAAAAGAAAGTACATCATCGAAGTCAGCTTCATTCTTTAATGTCTTCTTTATATTGAAGACTAACTTAGCAAACTTCATTGTAATACCATTAAATTCAAGAGCAAACTCTTCTTTATCTTTCAGTGAAATGATTTTTTGAGGTGAATCAACCACTTGAGGTTGTAAGTGTATCTTTGACAACTTTTCAGCCAAATCCTTCTCTTTTGGTATCTTTTCCAATGCTTTAATCACTTTCTTCCAAGACAGGTCTTTGACGTGGTTCACCAAGTAATCAAGAAGGTGGAGTACCATGCTATGTATACTACTATTCTCTGCTTTAATTCTATCAATGTCTCTAATTGGAACTCCCAGTAAACCACCGAATGTTTCCCACTCTACCAACTCACTTAGACCATCCAGAAGAACTGGTAATGTGATAGATTGTGACTTTTCCTCTTCTTTTTTTAATGTAGAGAATGACATTGTGAGAAAGAACAAGGCAGACAGCAGAAAAACAGCAAAAAATTAGGGTGGGGCTCATAAAAATGGGTGTGACTCATTAAAAAGGTGTGGCTAGATGATTCATTGTGACTGTGACCATTCAGTTCATCATGATCAGAAGGGCACTGATAGCTCGTAGAAAAGAGAAAGAGAGAGACAGTCTAAGATACACTAGGGAAGGAGGAGATGAAGATGAATTGGTCGATGTAGAAGATAAGTATGAAGCCATTGGCATTGAAGAAGCAGAAAAGTACAAAAATGCACCTGAAATTTTATATTAAAAATGTCTTCCCTTCAGATTATCTGCCTGTGATGAAAAGAATGAGGATACTCTTTCTACATTAGAGAAAGTATGGGATGAAGCAGATAAAGTGGTATATGAGCAACAAATGGAACACCTTCATGATCAACTGACAGCAGCACTCATTGATAACCAAGAACTTAAAAGTACAAGACCATCCGCTCAAAATCTTTCTTTCAAACTTTTCTTTCTCCCTCTCTTTTCCCATCAGTGAAACTTAAATCAATGGAGAGTGGGGAGGCAAAGAGTCAGGAAGCAACTGCCACCAAAACTAAAAAGTTTAGGAAATTCTAGAACTTTGCGTGTGTTTATATTTTATTTTGATAGATATGGTTCTTACAGAGGGAGGGACTTGTCAACGTCAACTACCAGAGAAGGTTTTGAGAGTGTCTCATCTCAACCAACCATACCCACTGACATTAGTAATTTGATATTATTTATTCATTTATGTATTTATTATATTTTTAGCTTCTTCCAGACCGTCAAGGTATGTAAGATGGTGGGATAGAATCAAAGACAATGTTAGTAGTATATTGTTTTTTATTTATATCTATTTATTTATTTTATAGTTATTTGGGATATTGTATGACTTTACTGACGACTCACAAACCGAAGAAGAAGAAGCACAAGAGGCTCCATTGCAATATAAACTGTTAGTAAACAATAAACAAAAACTGTCAACAATTCACTTTCTGTTTCAGATTAAGAGAAAACCTGCAGAGATTAAGTAAGATTATTTATCATTATTTTAGTTATTATTATTATAAATTTGACTGCTGATTCTGATTAAAACTTTCAATGATATAAGTATTTTTATGTAGGAGTATCCAGTAAACCTTATCTAGATCTTCTTGACACGTTGATTGCCATAAAGGATTGGAAGAACCCATCACTAACCCTGGTCATATTTTTAGTAAGAGAATTAATAAACTATATCACTAATGTCACCTATCATGATCCTCTTTCTCTCTCTTTTAAGTT